TTCAGTTTTCTTCTTTGGGGATATTATACTTTCTCTTCTCCCTGGAAAATTCTTATTCCATGGTGGTTCTATATTTACAAAGAATATATATATATATATATATATATATATATATATATATATATATATATATTCTCAAAGAGTCAAAAGAAAGTGTCATGTATATGTATAAATATGAGTAAATTATACATATACATGGCACTTTCTTTTGACTCTTTGCCCCTTTCTATGTAGATATTCAAATTACCTTGTATTGTATTTTGTTCAGGAAAAATGTTGTAATATATCATTTTTACTTGTTTTAGACTCTTGTTTTCCATGATAATTTTGTCTGTGTATCTATACTACATCAAACAATAGACATCACATTATATATTCAGTATGTGTTAATTTACAGATCTGATTATTTCTAGAATACTCTATACGTATGCTTGCTTGGACCTGAGTAAAGAGAACAATGTCAACTTTCTTTCGGGGAAAGCAGTTCTAATATCACTACCATCCTTTAATGATCTATAATGTCTTTGAAAAATAATTCAAGTTTCCTTTGACCTTTGTATTGAACGATTAGTTCCAACAAAATTTTTTTCTCTTGGAAAGCTGTTTTTCATCCCTAAACTTCAGTGTTCTCACATAGTCAAGTTTAGCCTGTGGAAAAAAAAATGATTTCCTGAGATAATAAAATTTAAAAGGTAATTTTGATGTCACATTAAGAAACTAAGAAGCATTTCACAGAATGGAGTGAGCCAAATCTTTATTTAGTTACAAAGCCTGGAGAATCTGGAAAAGAGGATAGGCTGCAGGGTAGGTCTATTCATGGAGTTCAAAACTGTTAGAAAGGTCAAAATAGTAACGTGGATGGCTTTTGATGACAAGAAAGTGAGGCAGAGTACACACTACAAATCATCACTGAGTCTCTATCACAGAAGCTTTTGGATAAGTTTTTGTTTATCCATATGTGTAAATCAGACCTAAATCAGTAATCTCTTCCCAAAGGTATCAGAAAGAAGACTTACATAATGACACACAGTTTTACTTAGTAGTTAAACAGTATCAACTGTGGCTTTTCTAGGGCAGAGAATATGCCATGATTCTTGCTTCTCCTTGCCTTCCAAAACCATCTAATGACACAGATTCTCATTGGCTGGTGGACATTTCCATCACCATCTAACAGTTCTAAAGCTGCCACGGATGGCTCCAGAAAAACACTCTCTTTGCATTTTCACCTGAGAACCAGTTAGCTTTGGGGCTATTCCCTTTTCCTTCAACTGTCTTCCACAGATGTGGCTAGGCATGGTCACATGATATTCTGTATAACCTAGAAAATGGCTCTCTAGTTTTACCTTCATCAAAAACAACTACAGTCCATTCACTTGTGGGCTTCTTAATTTCTCCAAAGAAGTAAAATGTGTTGTAAACTAAACATATAATTAAGTCAGAAATGATTCAGGAAAAGTACAAGACTATCAGGATTAAATAATTTTGATGTAAAACACATCTGAATACATGATATCCTCAAGTCCATTAACATTTCTTTGATCTTGAAGACCTATATTCTTATCTGGCATCCTCTTGTACAAAAACACAAATACACAAAAACACAGACACCAATACTACTAAGGGCAATCACCTCCACTTCTCACAACCATTCCATAACATTCATGTCTATGAGCTTGTTGCTCCCCCTAAACAAGTTAGTCTAAAGGTAGTTCCAGAGACATCAAATTGTAGAAATTTATGTAACATTAGGAAATGAAGATACTTATACTAGATAAGAACCTAAACTAGGTCCTTAGCTTAAAAGGTCACAGGGATATTTCTTAGTTACTTGAACACTTACTGTGTTAATTTCCAAGTTATCACTTGGCAAGTGTTTAGAGATTTGCACATTCCTCAAGACCCAAATGAAGAATCTTTTTATCTCCTATATAGCTCATAGCTTAGTACATATCAATTCTCTACTCATCAATACTTATCCATAACATAGGGGTGTTCCTAAAATATTGCATATGTAACCTTGCACTTCAGAGTCTTCAATGACATTTTTTTGTGGAGCATCTAGTAGATATGTATATTTTTAATGCCAAACAATTTTTAACCATAAAATTATAAAAATACTGAGTTCTAAACAAATCATTCTTTCAAAACAGCAAATCCAGTTATCACGGTACTACTTCTCCTTAAATTTCAGTTCATTCAGAATTAAGTGTGTTATAGAGAACAAGTTAATCAAATGATGATTACATGCCAAAGAACATGGACTATTCATATATAGTATTAACCAAAAACAGTGCACCAGATGGAGGATATATTTTAAAATCTATTTTTGAATGAACTTGTTAAAGGATTGAAGATATGTCCAATATAAAAACTGTATTTTTTTCAGCTATTCAGTCCTCTTTTTAGCTATCTTTTTTTTCAAAAATCATAAAAATATAGAATTTTTGAGTCTATATACATGAGGCTACATCCTTTATAGACCATATACCTACTTCATAGTTAAGAAAAATCAGATGCCCAAAAATCTAAATCATTGACTTTGGATAAACCTAACCAGTCAATGACAGGAAGAGGATCAGTATATCAATTATAGATCTTAATCAAATACAACTACTGTTACAATCCACCATCTCCTTTAGAATATATTATATGTGTGCATTTATAAATTATAATTTTAATACATACAAAGTACATTTAAAAAACACTAAACACCACTGTCGATGGAACATGCACATGAAAATCAACAAGTGCATGCATGAGACATTCCATGGTAGACTTTCTGAGTTGGCACAAGCGTACAACACAACCACTCTCAACTCACGAAGTTTAAAGATGATTGTGTTCCAAGAGTTTGGAAAAATATTGCCATTTCTTACCTGGCAGCTGTGTGGGGGGTTGATAAAAGACATTAACAACTTGAGCTATGAGTAGACATCACATTTCCTACCACTGAAAACATTGGTCCTACCTGGGATTTAGGGGTGTAATGCTTTTAATGAGAGATAAGATAAGAGATTTGACAGGGAATAACCAAACATGTAAGATGTTAGCATTCTCATGTGCATTGTAACATTAGCTTGAATGCTAGTGAATACCACCCAAAATCTTCCTGTTGGCTAGAGTGGCCCTATTTTTCTATACCTGGTCTAAAATATCTAAAATTATAGTTGGTCTTTTAGACTGGGCATCTAAAAGAGAAATTAATTCTAGAAGCACCACCCCTCCAGGTCCCAAATTCCCAGTACCAAAATGATCCAGTACTGACTAAAATAAAAAGTTCTACAAATCTGGTATAAGAAATACAAGTTCTGAATAAAACAGAAAACAGAAAAACTATTAGTGAGAGCTATGTTTTGGGGGTTGTGGATATGGATCAGTAAAGTGCTTCCTGAGTAGGCCAAAAGCCCTAGGATCAATCTCTAGCAACACATTAAACTTGGTTTGGTGGTGCACATCTATAATCCTAGCACTCAGGAGATGGAGGATAAGAAATTCAAAGTTATTCTCATCTACATAAAAACTTGGATGTCACCCAGAGATATGTGAGACCTTGTTTCAAAAATAAACACAAAGCAAAACAAAAAAAGATCTCCATTCAAACTATCCACATGTTCTACCACCAATGTGCATAAATAAATGCCTAATTAAGGCTCTATACTTTGAAAAACATAAATGATATCCTCTTTGCATATTTTATAATTCTCATAGTCCATACCTAAATGTGGCCACCTCATTTCAACAGGGACCCATGTTCTGATGTTCAATTGTAAGAAAAGAAAGAAAGAAACAAAGAAAGAAAGGAAGGAAGGAAGGAGGAAAGAAAGGATGAAAGAAAGAGAGAGAAAGAAGAAAGGAAGGGAGGAAAAGAGAAAGAAAGAAAGAGAGAAATAAAGAAAGAGAAAGAAAGAAAGAAAGAAAGAAAGAAAGAAAGAAAGAAAGAAAGAAAGAAAGAAAG